GAGCAGCTTCTACAGAACTGGGCGACGTCAGTTTGCAAACCTGGCCAGTAGAAATGGCGCTTAATACGAGCTGCGGTCTTATGTTTCCCTAAGTGGCCAGCCCAGGGAATGGAGTGACCCAAGGTAAGTACTATTTCTCGGGCCACCTGTGGGACCACTAGCTGCTTCACCTGGCCATTCTGATGGTAAAGAACACCGTTCTGTAGACATACTCATTTTGCTCACTCTTAGTATTAGTCTCCTGCTTCCTTCCTTGTGCCCTCTGCAAAAGTGTAGACAAAGTTGGATCATTTTCCTGCATTTGTATTATATCTGTAGGTATTTGAAAACCCAAGGGCAGGTCTGGAGTGGCCTCAGCTGGTGGTTGTATAGCCGTGCCCTGAAATTTGTCTTGCCTCCTCTGACTACGAGTCTTATGAGCTTTCCCGGGACATGTCTCAAACTCTTCGTTATAGAAGGGCAAGGCACTGAGGGCTATGGAATCTACCTCCACCTGTTGAGCTTGTGCTCTAGTGACAACATTACAACTTTGCACCGGCTTTATCAAGTCATAGAGAACTGGCAGATCTTCACCCAAAACTACAGGGAAAGGCAAGTGATCTGCAACCCCCACATTTAATAGATACATCTGTCCCTCTATCTCCAGATAAATGTCAGCAGTGGGGTAATGCTTCTCATCACCATGTACACAGCAAATAGGGACAGTCTCCAGGGTACAAATAGCATTAGTTGGTACATATTTTCTCTGTACAAGGGTCTGGGTGCTGCCAGTGTCAATCAGGGCTCTGAGGTTTTCCCCATTGAGTTTAACCCAAACCATTTTCATGGTGTGGTTACCTTTGGGTTCAGGGTTAGCACTCTGGTGTGGAACAAAACACATCTGTGTCAGCTTAGCTGGATTCTTCGGGCACATTGATTTAACATGACCTTCCTGTCCACACAAGTAACAAATGGGCAATCTATTAGGAGCTCTAGGTGGTGCATATTTGTTCTCCCTCATGGGAGGCTTACCCACTCCTGGCGCTGGCCTCTGTTGGTACGGAGGGGGTATGGGCCTGTGGCTGTCCTTACCAGCCTTCCCACCCATACTACTCCATGGCTGGCCTTTTTTCCGAGCAGCAACAAACACATCAGCCAGTGTGGCAGCTTCAGCAGCAGATTTTGGCCCATGCTCCTTTACCCAAACCTGAAGCTCAGGGGACAGCATTCTCAAGTATTGTTCCATGATAAGGATTTCACTAATTTCATGAAGTGTTTTAACTTGCGGTTGGATCCATTTTACATACAGCTCTTTAAGCCTCACATACAGCTCCTTGGGGCTTTCTTCAAGTTCCACATGGAGGGATCTGAACCTCTGCCTGTAGGTCTCAGGGTTAATATCATATTTTTTCAGAATTGCCGTTTTTACTTTATCATATTCATGAGCATCATCTACATCCATATGCACATAGGCTCCTCTGGCCTTACCAGTCAGTAGTGGGAGGAGACGAAAAACCCAATCCACTTTTGGCCACCTACATGCTACTGCAATTCTCTCCAAAGTAATTAAAAAATGTTCAACATCATCATTTTCTGTTAATTTTTCCAGTCTAGGCTCATGAATAGATCGAGACTGACCTGCTGAAGACATGGTGGGGTGGATTGACTGTACAGAGGGTGAGGCTTCGGCCTCTGGGTGATTCACATTCAAATCATAGTTTTCAGAGGGATCTGGCACTGTGGAAGCAGGCTCTGGTACTGGAGATGTGCGAACCTCTACCTCCTGCTGCAAAAGGCGAAACTGATGCTGTAGTGCTTTGAACTGGTACTCCTGGCGGTTGGCTTCCTCTCTCAATTTTGCTTCCCGGGTCTCCTGTTGACCCATAAATGACCGCATAATCCCAGCCAAGTCACGCGTGGCCATCACAAGGAGGCTGTGGAGTAAACCTTGGATAATGCAATGCGAAGCATAAGGGGCGTATCCTAATTTATGTAAAGAACTAAGCTCTGAGGACACCACAGCTTTTGCAAACTTTGCCCGTTTTGCGCCTCCAGCTTTCAAGCATTTACTGACCATGGTTACTTCACTCAAAACACAAATTTCAGAGACTGCATTTCTCCTGGTGAATGTGACTTTAAGATTCCTGGCAACAGGTGAGGTTCTAAAATGTATAAAGGCTAGCCTACGTCTATATACTTTATTCATACAATACACTTAGATGAAGTAAAAAGTATTACCTAACATGTTGGGGGTTTCTTTTAAAGGTGAAACCTTCCAGAGCCTTTCTTACCAATTTCGGATTGGTTGCTCAACAATTCCTACATTTGTTCCTTAAACCTGTGTGGCCAGTTCTTTGTGAAATATATCTCAAGGCAACGTTATGCATTAATAATTTATCATAAGCCTATATCATAAAGGCTACTGCTTATAGGCAGGGGGTCTTATTTATAAATGGTGCGTGCACACAAATTCACAAAACAGTGGTGGATAATGTACTGTGATTATCACGTGTGTGTTTCTTATGTGTCCTTCTACCACCGTCACTACTCAGGAAGATCGCTTATTAAGGGGGGTTGAGCTCCGGTGCAGAAGCAATGTGTGTGTGCGTATTTTACCAACCAAAGAATTTACTTTTCCTTGCTTCAACCTCACCAAAAAGAATGTCAGTGTCACACTGGGATAAATTTCTTTTTTTTAGCTTTTCTGTCAGAATTTGCCATCCTCATCTTAATGCATTCAGTACGTAATAATAATGAGGGAAATTTTACTAACCATTTACAGGAAACTATGGCTGTGTAAGGGTCGGACAAGGAGCTCGCAAGTTTTTTTTCAGCAGGCACGTGCACCCATAGACAAAAAAGGGCTTCAGCACCTGCCCTTTTTATCCCCCAAGAGAAAGTGCCCTTTTTTCTGCGGTGCTTTTTTAAAATAAATGAATTTACAGTATATATTTGTTAATAAACTCTGTGTTATTCACTGTGCTCCTAAATGTCTTTGTGTTCTAGATTTTTTTCATTTTAGGCACATGTCAGTAAAATAACAAATATCAATGATGCATAAAAACAAACAAACACACAAAGCAGTTAAAATATACTTGTCTGTGTCTGTTTAATAAACAGAAAAATCTATAAATATAGTAAATAAACAAAACAATTAATGTCTATGAAGATTCTCAGTCATCCAGGTCATAGTTAGCCAACGAAGGTTAAAGTCAAGGGCAACTGGACTTGGTTGAAGATACTGGAAGATGTTTCGTCCCTCTTTCCAAACTGAAGAAGTCCTTTGGATGAAGGACGAAACATCTTCCAATATCTTCAACCAAGTCCAGTTGCCCTTGACTTTAACCTTTGTTGGAAAACAATTAATCACATAATAATATATATAACCTACATTGATATAGTCAGCAGGTACTATTGCAACAGGAATGCATCAATTTAATCAAAATGAGTTGTTATACTGATGGTTGTGAGGGTTAGGGACATTATACTGTAGATAAGCTGACCAATCTGAGCTTGTACATATCAAAAATAATGTGGGTCTGACTTTTGAATGGCTCTAAATTCATGCTCCAAGTACAATATGCCATCATGCCATCAGAACGTTTCACTACTGCACTCTCAGTGAGTGTGCGCAGAGTAGCATTAACTGTCTCCAGAACTTGCTTATCTCTTTCTTGAGCTTGGGTGTCTGGGGACTTCCTCTTGCGCCTAATGAGTGGGGGTGTGATACCACTTGGGGTTGGTTCGTCTTCTCCCGTGTCAGTCACATTTTCTTCACTGTGGTCTATGTTGGTATCATCTTTAGAGCTGTTGTCCTCCTCATTCTCAGGTCCATTTTCTTCCATGTTAGATAGAGTGTCCTGTTAAAAGTATCACTAATGTTAATTTATTTTTTCATTTAGTGTCCAAACACAACATCTGAATGGCTGGAGATTGCTGATGGATTCCAGAAGAAATGGCAGTTCCCCCACTGTCTGGGTGCTTTGGATGGGAAACATGTAGCAATTAGACCTCCACCAACTAGTGGCTCTGTTTATTACAATTACAAACAATTTAATTCCATAGTACTCATGGCCCTGGTTGACAGCAACTATAAATTTATATATGTAGACAGTGGATGCAAGTGTCAGACGGAGTTGTGTTCAGGGAATGCTATGAATATTTGTAAAATAAATATTCTCATGTTTTGAGGGATGTTTGACTTTGACTGCCTTTTCTTCATGTGGATCTCAAGAAACATCATTTTCTGCACAATCCAGGACTGACGTGGTGTGAAAAAGCCATCACTGCCTGATGGTGCCTAGTACCTGGTTATTAATAATAATAATAATAATAAAAGGCATCTTTTAACTTGCCATTAGTACACCACATACATCAAAAGAGCATGTTCAGTTGTCAAATTTAGCTATTTTCCCTCTGTTCTCTACTCAGTAGCTTTTTTGCAAACATTATGTTGAACTGACATTACCAATGATTAATAACAATAAACCTCATCTGAAATCGTATTCGGGTTACAGTGAACTGTTTTACTAGTTAGCTAGCTGTACTCACCAGAAGCCTCCAGTTTCTCCTCTATGTATTTCACCGCATTAATCTTGCTATCGTGGTTGGAAAATGCCTGGCTCCTTGTGTTGTAGAGTTTGGGTTTCTCTTCCCACAGCTCAATCAGGTGTTCTTCACGTTCCTGGGTCCAGAAACCAGCCATTCTTGTTTGCCAAAATCATGTGCCCTGACGTTCCGCCACGCTAATTGTCAAGGGAACACTCTCAGAATGTTGCGGTTTGTTAGAAAACGGTGCACATTGGTCCGACTTTCTACAATTCGACTCAACCTGACTAGACATGTCAAACTCTAAAGACTCCATCCAACTGACACCGACTGACGGCGCACACTGATCCAACAGTCTGTGTCGGTTGGAGTCTGGCGCCGTTTGTTGGGGCAGTGTGCAAGCACCTTTAGCCAAACAATTATAAACCTTTGGTGGAGGAAGTTCTGTCACTGTGGCCCAACAGTTTTCTCACCTCTAACGTCTCTATGGTTTCATTTGGTTCAGAGGTCGAGCTCAGAGTATTCTTCTTCCTGAATTTATTTTTAAAAACAAACAAATAAACAAACATTTTAATCAATAACTCCAAAATTATTAAGGTAAATATTCAAAGTTAAAGATCAGTGATGGAACGGGGGTTACGTACTGTAACCCGGATTATAGGCAGAGTATAGGCGCAGCCCTCTAAGGCTATCGCTATTGGGTTTACCCCTTCCGCACACCTGCGCAGCCCTGAGGATTTAGTCTATGCCCACCCACAGCGTGGGCCTCTCCTACGTCCGCACCTTGTATATATACACACAACGGTGAGGCCCAGGCCGAGGGCCGACACATGCGTAAGTTGGGAAACTGGGTGGGGGGCCGTCTGTACAGACGCAGGCGGGGTCACGACAGCGACAACATCAGCTGCGCACAAGGCAGGGCCATGTAAGCAGCGGCCGCCCCCCCACACCGTCCAGTGGGAGAGGGCGCACCACACACTCACAAGAAGGATCACTCAGCCAAAACACTCAGTACTGAGTGAGTCTGAGAGAGACGGGAGACATCCCGTAAGTAGAAATGGACGAAAGAGCAAGGGGACAACCAGGAGGCCTCCGTGCAGATGTCGTCCACTGTCATCCCACCGTGCAACGCCACTGAGGAGGAGACACCTCTCGTGGAGTGCGCTCTGATGCCATCCGGGGGAGACTCCCCGCCAGACACATAAGCCTGGAAAATGGCATCGCACAGCCAGTGAGACAGGCACTGCGCCGACAGGGGAGGTCCCTTGGACGGCGCCAGGCGGCCATGTGCGCCACATAGCAGGACAGCGCTTGGGGGTGGGACGTGGCGTCCTCCGCTGACCCATGGGGGGGGAGGAAAAAAGCCCGAGAGGGTGATGAGCAGCGACCGAATGGAGCTCGTAATGCTTTTAGGCATGAACGTCGGGTTAGGGCGCAGGATTGCAGAGCTGCCGTTGCCCTGAATCCTGAGGCACGACGGAGCCACAGAGAGGGCAGCCAGATCGCTGACCCTCTTGGCCGATGTCAGAGCCAGGAGCAAGGCGACCTTAGCCGAAAGGAATTTTGGGTCCGCCGTCTCCAAAGGCTCAAACAGGGCTTGGGTTAATGCGCGTAAAACCAGCACCAAATCCCACTGTGTGGCAACAGGCCGCATCACCGGCCTTCGCCTTTGCACCCCTCTAAGGAAGCGCTTCACCAGGGGGTGGGAGAGCACAGTCCTGTCCCCGAAGCCCTTGTGACAGGACGAAATGGCGGCAGTGTAGGTTTTAACCATACTGAACGCCAGCCCCCTGTCCATGAGCGGCTGGAGGAACGAAAGCACCGCTGGCAGCAGACAGGCGACTGGATTCGTCCCCTGGTCCAGACCCAGCACTGGAAAGCCGACCACTTAGAGGAGTAAGAGGACTGAGTGGAGGTGCCTCTCGACTCTTGGATGGTGCGAACCACCTCACGGGAGAGATCTAAGCCCTCCAGGCGTCGCCTCTCGGCGGCCAGACCCAGAAAGGCTGGTCGAGGAGCGGGTAACTCCTGATCGTACCCCCTCCAGTGGAGTTTCCACGGCTGCCCTGCCAGCAGCCGCTGGAGACTGGGAAGGACGCGCTGGTGCGGTCTGGGGTCACCAGAATCACCGCCAAGGATGAAAACTGCAGGCGATCCAGGAGGCGCGGGATCAGCCGCACCAGCAGGAAGGCATACAGGAGCCAGGGAGGCCAAATGGGGTGAGCGAAGGCATCCACTCCCAGCGGGGGGCTGTCCCGCGGGCTCAGTGAAAACCAAAGGGCGCACTGAGCGTTCTCCTTGTTGGCAAACAGATCTACCTCTGCCCTGCCAAACTGGAGCCAGATCTGGGCCACCAGATCGGGATGGAGATGCCATTCGTCTCAACATTATGTCCACCCCTCTGTTCAGCAAGCCAGGGATGTATTCTGCTCTGATGGAGAGCAGGTGAGTGCGCGCCCACAGGAGCAGCCACCTGGCCAGGCCCAGTAGCTGCGCCGAGCGCACCCCGCCCTGGGGCGTGCTGATCCCTTAGCAGAGGGGAGAAGGGTAGGATCACCCTCCACACCGTGAGAAGCTCCAGTGCATTTAGGTGGAGAGGCCTGCGGCCCTGCCACAGACCGCCCACCACCTGAGAGAGGCAGATTCCACCCCAGCCCATCAGGGAGGTGTCTGTGAAGACCGAGAGGTGGGACGTGACCCCCAGGGGGACCCCGACCGAGAGAGAGAGAGGGGGTGCCCTCTCTGTCTCACCGGGTCGACACGCAGGCGGATGAACCACCGCTGCAGCCTCCTCATGTGGAGAAGGCCCAGGGGAATGGAGCAGCTCCATTAGCGCATCAACCCTCTCCTGAGAGAGCCGCGCTCTCCGGAGAGAGGAGCCCAGTACCACGCCAAGATAGGTGAGTCTCTGGGAGGGGAGGGGAGCACTCTTCTTCCAGTTCACCGTGTGGCCCAGGTAAGACAGGTGTGCGACTAGCTGGGCAGTCTGCACCACCGCTTCTTCCCGGGACGGCGCCAGCAACAGCAGGTCGTCCAGGTAAAACAGGACCCTGATGCCAGACTGCCGCAGCGGCTCCAGGGCCGTCTCAACACACATGGAAAAAGTGCGCGGCAAAGGTAGAGGCAGACACAGTCGCCAGGGCACGAGGTGGGGCAGCTGCACGCATGAGCCCGAAACCATGGCGCTCCCCCGACGAGGGGGGGGAGGGCAGGGACAGGCAACAGAGGAAAAGGTCTGCCTGCAACATCGGAGCCATGCTGCATGAAGACCGCACGGCCAGCTGGGCTCAGGCCAGCCACCTGACCATGTCAGGGAGGGGGGCAAGGGGAGAGAGGATGTGCAGTGTGCATAATGCATAATGTGTGGAGCAGCGATAGGATAACACAGGGTTGTGTGTAGTGTTATCCTGTCCCCTTGAAGTGTAATGACCGCTTCAAGGGCTCATTTGACACAGCCTGGCTTCTGTGAACCAAGGGGGAGCCCCTGGACGCACAGAAGGAGCGTGCCATTGATGCCGTAATTATGCATGAGCTCGCATCTGGCACTGCCGGGGAATGGGAAGAGTGGAGCCATCCAAATCCTGCTCTTCCATCAACAGCAGATCGATGGCTTCATCCAGAGAGCGAGTGGACCGCCACACCTCCTCGTCCTGAACGGCAAAGCCGCCACTCTTCGGGGGGGCAGAAGGGCGAAGAACGGGCAGTGCGAACCGAGAGTGAGCGCTCGGCCGGCGTGCTCCGGTCCGAGGCACGCCTCGCAGTGGGGATGGAGATCACCCAGCACGATGTCGCCCGTGTGGCAGACGCCGCGGCGACTCGCCCCGTTCTGGCTGGCTTGCTGGAAGACATCGTTCTTTTTGTTTTCCGGCTGGAAAGTCTTTTCTTTAGACAATCTTCTGCTCTTCAGACAAATCTTCTGCTCTTTAGACAGCACAGTGCTGAAGAAAAATGGGAGCCGATGGCTGGGCCTCACCGTTGTATATATACAAGGTGCGGACATAGGAGAGGCCCACACTGTGGGTGTGCGTAGACTGAAATTCTCAGTGCTGCACAGGCACGTGGAAGGGGTAAACCCAATAGCGATAGCCTTAGAGGGCGAAGCCTATACGAAATAGAACTGATTCATTCTTATAGTTTCACCTCATCCACAGACAAAACAGAAGCAGATGAATCAGCATCACAACCACCAGAGTCAACGTGATGATAATTATTAGCCTTGTTGAGTTCTCTAGAAATGGAGATAGACAGTTATTAGATAAACTGTGCTGGACCTCACTAGTAGAGTTTGTATCATGAATCAGTTTGCCAGGAGATGCTCTTCTGTTAATCAGCCAGGTAGTGTCATGCAGAAACGTACCTGCCACAACAATCAGATGTAAGGTGGAGTTATGACGTCCTCTTCTGTTCTGGGCTTCACAGTAATAAATCCCACTGTGTTCAGCTCTGAAGTCAGTGATGGTGAAGTTCTGTCCTGATGCTTTTGGTGAGTCTTCATTCTCCTTGTACCAGGTATAATTAGCTGCAGGGTTAGCATCACTGCTGCAGGTCAGAGTCACCCTGCCCTCCACTATGTCAGCAGAGGGACTCACTGGAAGCTTTGGAGCATCTGGTAAATGTATATAGAAATAAAACAGGTTTTATGTAAACAAGGTTGTTATTGTTATTGTTAAGATGTTACTCGAGAAAAAGTGAAAATCACCCAGTAAAAAATTACTGGTTTTAAAAGTACATAAGTATCAAAAGTAAAAAGTATTACATGTTCAAATCTATTGATCTTACAAAAAGAAATCTATCTTTTTTAATTCACTGAAGACAGGTTTGAATACAGCAGTGTAAATTGAAAAATGAGTTGCAAGAGATGTGGGTATTTCGTCATACTACTGTGCAGGGGATTAGACTGCATTATTGCTCTATTGATGTGGTGAAATGTTTCAGACTTGTGAGCCATGTAAACAATTATCCATTGCTGAACAGTCCCACCTGACACCACAGTGCTCTCATTAGAATCCTCATTAAAACAGTCTCTGGAAGAAGCCTGAATGGAAAACTCTTCTAGAAAAGACCAGTGCTGGTTTGAACAGATCTGGTGGGTCATTTAGAGGAGCAGCAACTGTTGCATTAGGGTCTGAGCAGCTTGTATCTGATGCTTGCTTGTACATTTCTGGCTGTGCTCGTACTGGCTGAGGATGCCTGTACTTCACCTGGGTCTGTGGGACCTGCTAAAGACGTCTGGACTGGGTCTGTGCAGTCTGTCTGGGAAATTAACAGAATCTTTCCAGAGCTGCAGTTTATTAAACGTAATAGTATTTCACGCTAACATTTGTCCGACGCAGCCTGGCAAGCAACCAAAACACAGACAGCCCAGGAGATGCACTAATCAGCTGGGTTAGCAGGACAGGACAGCTGCACATTATCATTACCGTTATCTGCTGACATCAGACTTTGAGAGAACACAAGTTTACCTGACTGCTGTCATTGAGGTTTTCTCTTGTTGTGCCCATAGTCCATTGTTTCCATTAAAGGTAAAGTATGTAAGATTTAGTGGCATCTAGTGGTGAGGCTGCAATGTGCAACCAACTGTCTAGACTACCGCTCCACCCCCCCACCTATCAAAGAGCGTAGGATAGCTGTCACAGGACAAAAGGTGTCGTCTTCTGAGACAGCAGAGACAACACATTCTTACTCCCGACTTGTCACATATTGACGCTTGGTCAAGGTGCTTTAGTGTAATTTTTAGATATTTAGGGCCCTGCAGACAAGTTAGCTACACCTGGCAATGTGAAATCTGCAACGTCCGGTTAAGTTAGCAACAATACATATGCAATGTCTGGTATTGACACATCGCCATTTTGAAACGGCACCTTATTACAGTTGTGAAACGTTGCAATGTGGTTAGGTTTAGGCAACGAAAGTACTTAGCTAAGGTTATGAAAAGATCATAGTTTGGGTTTAAATAACTACGTAGGTCAGTTAACAAGTTAACTAACGCCATTTCCATAACTTACGCAATTTATGTAACTTGCCTAACTTAAATAAAAATATTTAATGTTCCACACCAGACACAAACACCTAGTCTTCTGGTTCAAAGTCCAGGTTCTGGCCCTCCATCCACCCCAACCACCCCCTAACTATGTCTTAAATATCATATACTTTAACGTCAAAAGCTGATGCTACAGGGCTTCCCAGTGCGTTACAGACCGACGCCGATGGGTCTTGGCCATGCATCCATATATGACGAGCCGGGGAGTGAAAACAGTTATTAAAATGCTATTGCGCCATGGCCACTGACAGATAACATGGAAAATGTAAGCCAAGAGTGTGAAACATTGTGTGTTATTTACAGAAGCCCAACAATTCCCACCAAGAGCAGCACTAGGCGACAGAGGCAAGGAAAAACTTCCTTTTAATTGAACACAATAACAAAATTGCTACTTATTATGTCTTCCCACCCAACATCTAATGGATGAAAAAATGGCTCCAATGTAAAACTTATTTGCCAACCCCTGCTGTATATTATTACTTCTTCTTCTTCTTCGAGCATATGTATTCAACATAGTGATGAGAGTCTACGCTGCCAGAATGCTACAAGAAGAAGAAGAAGAAGAAAAAGAACAGTGACAAAACCTTTTTATATTCAGTCTATGGACGGAATGCACTCTCTAGTGCTGTTTGCCTGTTTTCAGCAACTGTAGAAACATGACAGTGCAACATGGCAAAGTCCATGGATAAGTTTCAACTGACTGCCGCTCTGAACTCACTTTCGGTGCAGGCTCCGCTCTCAAGTCAGCTCTGCTGTCAGACAGGAAATAATAAACTGACTTTTTTTCGTCCCTGAAAGGACACAACTCCGTTGTTTTGGCTACAGTGTATGGCTGCATTACACATTGTGGCAACGGTAGGTAACTTACTAGCATTACCTAAAACATTGTAAAACGTCTGAATGACGGGTCTTGGCATATGTTTGCCATCAAAATAGCTACCGTTATTAGTATTTGTGCAACTAATTTAAGCGAAGTAGCGAATGCTACACACGTGGGTAATGTTAGACTATTTGTCGTTTTAAATGTAGTATACTGCAAGTTGGCTAGCGTTTACACCTGAAGTAACTTAGTATAGTAGGATTAGCTTTTTTTTCTGGGGATACCGCAAGCTAACGTTAATTATTTATTTAATTGTGTGTTTGGTTTTATTGTCTTAAACTGTTGACTATGATGCTGAAGTTGTTTTTTTTTCTCGTCCAAAAGAAGATAAAATTAAGATTTAAAGGTTTTTTTCTATCATTCAGCCACTTCTGTGTAGACTGGCTGTATGAATTTATCTTATTTGAAGTGAAGCTTATGTATGGTGACAGTGCTTGGGGGTGGTTATGGAGCAGTGGATAAGACACATGCCATTAGTGTGAGAGACCCAGGTTCAATCCCCCATTGTGTCTCTGAGCAAGACACTTTTAACCCCTACTTGCTCCAGGGGTGTGCAACCTGTGACATAAATAAATTGTAAGTCGCTTTGAATAAAAGCGTCAGCTCAATGAATAAATGTAATGTAAATGTTTCCCAAACATCTCTAGGAATAAGTTACACCTTGTCCTGCCTGTTTTAGACATCTCCCTGCTCCAACACAGCTGATTTAAACAGCTTCCGGAGTTCATTATGAGTTGACAGTTTGAGTTATATTTGTGCAGGTAGAGATCTAAAACACACACGAATATAAATATTTATTTTACGTTATCCTGTATCCGTTTCCTGTGTAATCGCACATGGATTTTGTATTTTTTGCATGTGTTTCCTGACCTTACGGTGGAGCCAACCTCAGAGTGGATCTTTTTATATACAGTCTGTGGAGTGGAGCCTACATTGGGAGGTCAGAACACAGACAGTCTTGGAACACCTCACTTGGGTGAAGTAAGCAATGTAGGCTAAATTTTCCCCATGAGGCAACGTCCAGGTGGGATTTGTTTTGTAATGATTGTTTAAAATAGTTTGCTAACGGTACAGTAAGGTAAACCTTTACTTGGTAAGTTTTGCTCAATTCCTGGATGCTATGGGATCACGATTATATTGTTAAATTATAAACAGCTAACTAGAGCTATTTAGTGAATTAACAACACCAGACAAAAATGAACTTGGTTTGTCATGTTATTTAAAGATGCACTTTGGCAATGGCTGTACGCTCACAATGTTGTGTGTTGCGTCCTTAGACAGCATTGGAGCAGTTCCTACATTTTGCACTGGCAATGCACAAGCTCCAAGCTGGTGCTGATGGAAGTGTCATCCTGCATAGAATTCCCCCTCACATTTATTCATGACGCTGACGCTTTTATCCAATTAATTAATTAATTAATTAATTTATTGCGATATGAAGTCACACACCTCTGGAGCAGCTAGGGCATGTATGTGTCTTATCCACTGCTTCATCACCACCCCCTCGATCCTCCATCCATGCTGCATTGGGGGAGGTATGTCTGGCAGGCTTTGCAAACTTCTTCTGCAGAACAGAGGAATAGACTAGTATTTTGGTATATATTCCAGTATGCGGTCAGGCAGACATGGGCAGTATTTCTGATATATGAATGTAAAATATGTATTTGAAATACAAAATAGTGTGTTGTAATTTGTATTTAATGAGCCTCATAAATGGCTGTGTAATTTGTATCAAAATAATACAATGTGAGTATTTTAAAAATGCAGAAAATAATTTCCCCAAAACAGGAAATTGGAACAGTGTGTTGAAGGCTTTGCACATGCTTATTTAAGACACATGAAAGTGAAAGATGGATATTTCATTGGTTTTCTCTGATTCAGGCAAGTCCAGGCAACAAGAGTTGCTCCACAAAAATGAAAATGAAAAAAAAAATGGATGTGAAATTGACTCAATTTGTGTCTGCTAGGACAGCACAACCATGCAGGCATCGAAGATTTTTGGAGTATGGTTTTTTTGACATGGCTACAGTCAACTAGTCTGCTAAAATAATCCCCATTATGATACAGTGCTTCTCAAAGCAGATTAGATTTAATTTATTTTGAGACATGTTATGGTTGCTTTAATTTGTGTTTTTATTTATATACCTTTACAGTTGAGTATTTTCAAGATACATTTAGATGTATTTTTGCCCATCCCCGAGTAACATTGGTATCGCTTGTTCTTACAGTACTAATTAGTTCCTTTTTCTGCAGGATGTAGTGAAGGGCCATGTTTGATGCAGTGTCATCACTGACTTCCTCTGGCAGCAGTTGGGCTTTATCTACATGGTTATGGGACCCCAGGTAGGGGACAGAACAAAGGGGACAAAGAATGTGTTTATCAATGGTGGTTACTTTTAATCTACTAATCTTACTGTTTAGTTTTGGAAGAATACCATTTAATGTATGTTTCAAGTAAAACATTCCTAAAAAAACTGTGACTTTTGTGTTAAATTC